CTAGGGAACTTCTGACAATTTACAATCCACACGGTGGATTGCAATGCAGCCTTTTTTATAAGTGATGGTACAGGGTCAATGTCACTCATGAAACTAAAGTATTTGGCATATTATGCAAAAACAAAACAGGTTACAAAATAGTAGAATTTCATTTCTTAAAATGTGTGTGTGTAAAGAAGAGAATGGATGGAGAAGACTGGAAAGAATTGTACAAATGTGTCAACACTGTCAATGGATGGCTGATTGGTGGGCAACTTTTTTAAAATCTAGTCAGTAAATATGCATTAATTTTTAAAGGAAAAACTATTAGGTGGGTGGGTTACTTGGTTTATGGGTTGAAGAGTTTTAAGGGGACATGTCTGGGAGAGGAAGGAGGTGCCTAGGAAGGTTCAGGTCTGATTTGGGAAGCTGGCGGGAGGAAGGGAACGATGCAGTGGATGGTGATGTGTTGGAATAGCTGTGTGTACTCAGGTGAGGAACTAGTCCCTTTCTTACTCTGCATTTGAGGCATGTGGTTTGGATTCCACACCACGTCTCTCTCTTTTGTCTGTGATGGGTTTGGGTGGTATCATTGTCTGAAGACTGAGTGACCAAGAATTCTTCCCCAGGTAGGTTAGTACAAGGGCTGGTGGTTCCTTGTCATTGCTTGCTTTTACAATGCAGGAAAATGTTTTCAGCTCTGCACAAAGGGTTTTGGCATCTAGTCATGGAGAGTCCTCTGTCACCTCAAGCTGGTCATTAGTGTGCAACCTGTTTGCTAATAAACCGAAGCAGGACCTCGATGTCAAAATGCTTAGACGGGCCAAATCAGCTGGGACCCCGTTTCTGCATTTGACATGCCTTTCCCATTTCCCAGCCTCATGCAGAACATAAACCTGAATCAGGAGGTGGCTCGGTGTGAACTCTGATAAATTGGAGTGAGTATCTAGGGATTGGGGAGCAGACACTTCTTCTTTTAACCTTTCAAGACCAAGAATCATTTGGCCCCAAAAATCCACCATGCATGGAACTTGGGGTATGAAAGCTGCACAGTGTATTAAACGTGAATGTGAGACCATGAATTCTCCCCACACTGACTCCATAAAACAGCCTCCCTTTTTCATAAAGCAGGCCCATAAACCGCTGCCAGCGAAGCAGAAAGACTCCTTAGGCCCATGGCTGGCTTTCCGTCTGGAGTTGTCAACAAACCCCCTTTATGAGTGGAATAGACCTCTTGTATGTGTGGAGGAGCTTCTGGCTTTTTACAGAGTGTATTAGGAGCCAGGCTAGGCAAACGTTAGGCGCTGTTTGCTGAGTGCATTTATTGCCTTTGCATAATTTATGAGCTGGAGGGGCTGACCATCATTCGTCTCTGCCAGGGGCTGGCACTCGAGGCTCCAGAGAGCGAGGCTGTAAATTGGATGGCGCGCTCCTGCTGAGCTCACGGCAAAGTCCCCGGGTCAGTGTGGGAATTTAATACCAGAAATGGAACTGTTTTCTCAGCACACCATGTGGGCCCCGCGCAGTGGAGACTGTTTTGGCAGCCTCTGCGGCTGGCCTCGCCGAGGAGCTGTCACTCACCCGCATGTTGCGTGGGGAGCCTGAGCGTTTTTAATCGGCTTGGCATCCGTGCTGCTTCCATAATGGATACCAGTAGGTCTCAGCTCCCCACCATATGCTTAGCTCTGGAGACAAGGTGCTTCTGGGTATATCAGTAATTACTTGATGCGGAATTAAGTGGACCTTGAAATTAGAACTGGACTGTTGGAAAGCTGGAAGCTTAACACTTTGATAGAAGTAACCGTTCCCAGGGACACTCTGCTATTAGGATGGGGTGGGGAGGGGGGGCGTTGTGGACACTGGAGGTTCTTTCCTGACCTCCCCACTCCCTCTGTGCTCCAGCCGTCAGCGGTCATTGCCTACCTCACAAGGTGGGCTGTGAATAGTTGGGAAAAGGACCCTGCCTGGCCAAATCCTTGTCCTTCTTCCATCCCCCTCTCCCCCAATCATGCTTTGTCACCCTTGAAAATGTGCCCAGAACTTGGGACCCTCAAGGAAGGCTTAATTAAAGGCAATGGGAAAAGCACACCATAGGGAGAACTGCTCCTCAGCTGTCTGTTGTTCTAGGCCTTCAGAGTCGCCACATCACGACACCATTTTCTTTCTCAGCTCACTTGACTTTTTATAATAGAGAAATCCACTCATCGGGCAAAAGAGAGTAGGCATGGGCCATCTGAGGTTGAGGTTGACAGCTTGGTTGAAAATGGCTCAGATGTACTTGGTTAAAGCACTGTCACTAGAACTCAGGTAAGCCTATAGCATCGAGGAGCCAGTGGAAAAGAAAATGTTACAGCCCTCCAGTCCTCCGGTCCGCACGGCTGTGATGTGAGCCCCTACATGCGCGCAGTACAGACAGCATAGGCTGAGAAGAGGAAGTAGTCTCCTGGACGTGTCTTATAATACCAAGATGTCCTTTTGGGTGGGGTTAGGGTTATTTTCAATTGTAGTTTAAATACTATAACTTATCTGTTATCTGAACAAACAAGTCCAGGCTGCTCTGAGGGTGGTTCAGATGGCTCAATTGTGCCAAGGTCTTTCTTCCTTTGGCCTGATCATCTTGTTTTGTATTCCGTTTTTGCTTTTTGTTTTTGCCTCATATCTGCAAGATGGCTGCCCCAGATCCAGACCTCACATCCTCATGCAGTCATGTTCAAAGGCAAGAGGCAAGTGCTCTGCTTTTCTTCCTCTTTGAGGAGAGAAAATATTTCCAGAACTGTCAGCAGACATTTCCTCAAGTCTCAGCCAAAAAAATGTATCTTATGGCCACCCTCAGCTGCAAAGAAAGTTGGAAAAGAGAGAGTATGTGGCTTTTTCATTCTCCAACTGTCAGGAGAAGGTACAGACTAAGAGAACGGATTGTGAATGGCTGTGGGTATCTAGCCAGTAGTGACTGCTGTATAAGCAAATTTATTTTCTGTGTCTGTTCATAGCAGCATCAACTCCCACATCCAGGTGGCCACACTAAAAATCCTTGGCAGCATCCTCGACTCATCCCTCTGACTTGCTTCCCATATCCATGTGTTACCAAGTCCTGTTGGTTCTACCTTTCGAATTGCTCTACCATCTGTTCATCTCTTTCTCACACCACACACCCTGCTGGTACAGACAGTGTGATGGCTGCCAAACTGGTGTCCCTGTGACCGGCTGCTCCCACAGTGCACTCTCTCCTCCACCATGGGAAGCGTCATCTTAATAGAACGTACCTCTGGTCATGCACCCCCTGCTCAGACTCTGTGCTCTGACTCTATTTCTGCAATCATGCACCACAACTGTGTTTCAGTCAACCACCATATATGACGGTGGTCCCGCAAGATTGTAGTGGGGCTCAGACGTTTTTATCACCTAGTGACGTCGCAGCTGTCATAACATCGTAGTGCCACTCGTTACTGGTGTCTTTGTGGAGTGCTTATGCAAACAAGCCTATCGCACTGCCAGTCCTGTAGAAGTTTAATTTTGTGCAGTACATAATGCTTGACAATAATCATGGCTGTGTTGTGGGTTGATGTATTTCCTATACTTTTCATTATTATTTTATAGGGTACTCTTTCTCTTATTAAAAAAAAAATAGTTTGCTGAAAAATACTTACCTGAGTGTTATTCCAGCCACAGCCTCAGACATCTCATGTTTCTGCCTCTCTGGATTGCCTCCTTCTGTCCTGTGCTTGACTTAACCTCGTGTTGTTTTGTACAGAAGCATGCTGTACAAAATGGCCGGTAGCCCTAAACCATGTAGCTTCGGTGTGTGGTAGGCTCTACCGTCCAGGTTTCTGTAAGCACAGTCTATGATGTTCGTACAATTAAATCCTAAACGTGTCCTGGTCACCCCATGGTGTGTGACTGGACAGCTAAACTAGAAGCTACCTTAGGAACAGTCCTGGGTCTTCTTTAAATCTCTGCCATGCTTCTCAAAGGCATTTGAGTGAATGAACCATTTATCTGCCGTGCGTTTACTTTAACAAAACATGTCCCTTTAAAAAAATAATAATAATAAGATACTAGATAACAGAACATTGTTGCTTTTTAAAAAATTTTGTATTCTTTTTTCCCTTTGAGTTAATTATCATTCCTGGCTATCCCAAACCCAGCTCAACAGTTGGTACGTGGGATCTGTTAGATATGGTGCAAGTGAGTCTGCTGTCCTAAAACTTTTTTTTTATTTGGTACCCTGACTTCAATCCTTAGCATGTATTTTATAATTTCTTTTTAAATATATTTTATTGATTTTTAACAGAGAGAAAGGGAGAAAGATAGAGAGAGCTAGAAACGTCGATAAGAGAGAAACATTGACCAGCTGCCTCTTGCACACCCCCTACCGGGGATGTGCCCTCAACCAAGGTACATGCCCTTGACCGGAATCGAACCTGGGACCTTTCAGTCCGCAGACCAACGCTCTACCACTGAGCCAAACCGGCTTCGGCCTTGGCATGTATTTTATAGAGAACATTCCTCTGTTCTCTGGAAAAGGCAGCCTCCCAGTGGTGAGCCTCACCCATTATGCTCTCTTTTCTTCCCAATCTAAATGAGTGAATGCAGTGCCCAGTGATTTACCTCTTTTCTTCTAGAAAAGTACCAGGAGTGAGACAGCCATTGACAATAGGAGGTAGAAGGTCTCCATTAAAGAATTGATTTTGCTCTCAATCCCATCAAATGATCTTGATTCACCTTAACCTTGTGTTCGGCTTGGCTCCTGCTGGGCATCCCCTCTGCCATGCAATAGGGGGGCAACCTGGGGTGATGAGCATATACCAGACGAGCCACAGAGCGTAGACACAGAGGACACTGCAGGCAGCTGGTCAGTGTCCTGCTTCTTACCCGTTTACCAGCACTCAGGCCAAAAAATCTCTACTCAGCTCAGTCCACATTCCCTTTTCCTTTACTGGTCTTGCTTTTGTTTTCTGGATCAAAGACTAAAACGTACTCCATTTTTGCACTAACCCTCCTTCTCTTGTTTTCTTTTTCAGTGTGACAGTGACAGTGACCAGGAAGAGAAGGTAAGACCCCCGCCCCCAATTGTGGGCACAGTGCATAGACACTGAGCAGTGTGGTTCTCCCACACATGCTGCTGTTCTCCCACACATGGTACCAGCTTCATGGAGGCAGCACCTTCCTCTTCTGTAAAGCCAGGTTTTATTCACATAGTGATGTTTCTTATAATAAGAAATAACATTTAATTTGTGAGGTCCACTTTTTTAAAATAAGCCCTTTAAGAGTGCACATATATGACACTAAGTTTTCACATTATAAAAGATTTCAAAAGAGGAAATGATTTATTTATCTTAATAGCCATCTGATTTTTCTTCTTTTATCCTTGATTGGAACATTAAATGTGTTAGTATGTATTTATAATGTCATGTTTTCATTTATCTTACTGGCCTGTATGCTTCTTCCTGCTTTTCTGTACATATTGGCTTCTCAATGGAGATGTTAATAGTAATGTTTCTAGGAATGTCATCCTGGGGCAAGGGGTGGGCAGGGCGGTCAGGGGGTATTGCTCTCTCTCATCAGGTGGGTGACCAGGTGGGAGGACAGTTCTTCCAGCAGGTGCACTCTGTCTCGAGGCTGATGACCACCAGCCTTGGGGTACCCAGTTCAACGAGGGTGAGGAAGGGGGGCTCTGGGTTGAGCTCTCAGAAGACTGGATTATGGCCTGGTAATGTGAACTTCTTGCTGCTGAAGCAAAAGGATGGTTTGTCTGTTTGATTTTTCTTCCTGTGTGTTCAAATCCCACGACCCAATTTCTTTCCATTTTTATTTCTACTTTATGTATTTCCAAAAGTTACCTGGATATTATGGTTTCTCTGTTACTTGGCACCAAAAGGAATTGCTGGTTTTCTTTCCCCGGTTTCTGGATCTGTCCTGTGGAGCCGGCACCCCTGAGCCCCATTTTCCATCTCCTCCTACCTGCTTGCTGATTTTAATCAGCTTCTGCAGTTGGTGTTTAGTGGGATCTTTCCATCAGCCCAGGCTCGCCCTCCTTCTCTGCTGCCAGCCTCCGGGAGAGACGTAGAGGCTCTTGTTCTGTGCTGTTGTTAATTTGAATTCAGCATATGCAGCCTGTTATAAAATGCGAGACATCATCATTTGAGCAGGTCAAGCATATTCAGATGAAGACAAATGGTGCTTATTTGATTTCCTTAAAATCAGGAAATGAAAAAAGTGCTCTCTGGAGAAATCATGTTCTGCCTGACTTGGATGATAGACCAATGCGTGTCCCCAGATAAGAACAGGCTCTCGCCCTGAGGTTTTTATCTCTGAAGGACGGCCAGGACTGTCAGCTTGCTGACATGTGCATTATCCATGTCATTTTAAACAAAGTGACCTATGGAAGGGTGTGCTGTGCTGTGACATGGTAATGGGCTGTTGGATGACAGCGAAAGTACACACTGCAAAGGGGGCTGTGGACTATTCTTTTGTTTAACTGACAAGTAGGAGCTTCCTTCCTCCAGCCCCCGGAGTACGAGCTGCTTAGAAGCCAGTCCCTCGGTGTCTCGGGCACCAGTGAGTAGTGGCTGCCAGAGGTGCATGGGCAGCTTGGAGGGTCAGTGTTCAAGGCGTGCCCAGCAGCCTTGGAGCCGTCGGGCCACATCCCACGTGGCAGGTGTCACCACAGGCAACAGGCAGGACAGGTACCTACTGCCATTCCAGCAGCTCTTCCACAGCAGTGGTTGGCCTCTCTGTCCAAGGTGGTGGCACTTCTCCAAGGGGATGAGCCTGCTCGGGGTCTCCCAGCCCAGCAGACATTCTTCCTTGGAAGGCGCTGTGAATTCCGGATGCGTCGCCTATCGGCAGTGGTAGAGGTGGTGAGGATGTCCAGTTTTGCATTCTGTGTGCATGTCTTGATAGGCAATCTTGACCTGGGTGGCACACCGATCACGGGGAAGCTGTAAAATCCCCACGCCTCGGCCCTTCCAGGCCGACCTCAGAGTCCTCCAGGTTTCAGCACCACTCCTCCAGATGATCAGCTAGCAGGGTCATTTGGGGAATTACCAAAGTGCCCCTGGCTTTCAGAGGGATCCCGGTGTTTCCGCCCAATGCCAACACCTGAACTAATCCTTCTGGGGCCGGGTTCCCAAGTCATTGCTGTTCGGGCTTTAGTCTCTGACGCCAGATTGCGGGCAGTGGGAAGTGGCTGGTGCCCACCACTCAGTTCAGGATGATTTCAGAGCAATACAGGCAATAAGGAGATGTATATAGGCACGCCCATGGGAGTGGAGAGATGGCAGAGCATTCAGACTGATCCTCCCTCCTGTGTGCACTTGTGCCTCTCTTGCTCCCCACCCCACCCCTGTCGTCTTTCCTGTGGACTGTGGTGGCCCTGCAGGTCCTCTTCTTACCTGAAAGCTGCTCCCCAACCACCCTCACATCCCCTCTCCCTGCTCCCCTTCCCCGGGCATTCCTCCCAGGGCTCCTGACAGGAGCAATTGTGACTCTTAATTGCAGCCATGTCAGCTTGCCCTGTTATAGTTAAGACTATCGGGCTCCCCTTTTGGATTGGGATTGCCCGGTGGCTATCCCTGGCTTTAATACCACCCCGCAGACTTGTGTTCTGTGCTGGAGCCCGGGCCCTGTCAGCCTCCTCTGTGCCAGAGCCTCCTGCCTGGGCCCTCTTGGAGCCCCACAGCTAACAGGGCTGCTTTCATGTGCCCCTTGGAGGATTCGGATTCAAATCTGAATTGCTAATGGTGGAAAAGATGCCACTCAGTGTCCTGGGATCCCATCAGTAGCCCCACCAGGGATGCTGTTGGAGGCAGAAGTGAGACTTGTAGGGCACCCACTGGGACTTCTCTCTGGAAGACCTGTCATTCTCTTTCTCCGCGGGGATCTGCAGAGCTGGCGGTCTAAAATTAGGCTACTGCATTTCACACAGCTGACTGAATTAAGATAAACTCTGCTTTCCTCTGATGCGAAGCTGTAATTTATAAAATGATACCCTTACTAATTAATGTGGAAGTGACTGGGAAAGGGGCTGAAAAGCAGAGCTTTCCCTAAATGTGGAAGATGTACTTGTGGGTGGAAAGCCTTTGATGAGCCACGAGAAACACATCTCTCCTAGCCTCCCCTCCCAGCCAAGAATACGTTTCACACAATATCAGAGAGCCAGGAGGACTCTGTGAGGTGGGAATGGGCGGGGTTAGGAAAGGCTGGCACGCTACACCTCAGGTGTGGGGTTGTCTTCACTGTGGTTAGTGACAGAGGCAGCACTTGGCACCTTAATCACCCCCATTAAGCAATCATTCCAATCCCCCCACTGGAAATGAATTGGTATCATGAAAACAAAGAAGCAACGTACACATTTCCACATATTTGGCCTATATTTCCTCTTGCTTCCTCTCCTCTCTCTCTCAGCCACAGCAGCAATGATGCCAAAGAACACCCTCCTCTTGGGTTATGAAAGTAATGTGAATGCTGAAAGTCATTTTCATGTTATATACTCATCCCCCTTTTATTGTGTGGGCCACATGGCAGCGTTGGCTGGAAGGCCTAGGGTTCAGTGGTCCAGCACGTGGGCATCCGAGTCCGGTGGCCTGGGCTTCTTTCTGGCTGTCCCTTACCACTTCGTAGCCGTGGACAAGCCTCAGTTCTCTCATCTGCCAAATGGAGATAAGGACAGCTCCTGCTGTAGTCTGTGACAGTTCAGTGAAGGCACTTGGCTCCAGGCCTAGGCCATAGTGTGTGCTTTATAAATGTTACTTCCACTCGTTCTTCTTGGGTCAAAGGGGAGAGCCCCCTCAGGGCAGGAGGGAGCCTATCCTCCTCTTAGAAAGCTCACGCTCTGCCAGGAACCCTGCCAGAGGACGCCAGGGAGGATTGGTTTCCACTGGAACCTGGGGCTCAGCCTTCGTCCCCAAGGGCGCTGCTTCCTGCTACAAGCTGAATGGAAGGGCAGTGGAATTCACAAGGGTCCCCAAACAGTGTATTTTGAACTCCTTATCTTAAACATCAGCCTTTCTTTTGGGCAAAGCCCTGGAGCCACAAGCAGGCATGCGGTCCTGGATTGTACAGCTCTTGTCCCACATACCAAACGCCGGTGGTTCCCAGATGTCCATCACAGGGGAGACATTCGGACTCAGTACATCTGGGCTGTGGGCACAGCGTCTGTATTTTTTTAAGTGCTTCTTAGGAAAGTCTGACACACAATGGGTTTTTGAGAACCACTACTTTATAATAAAATGTCAAAGAAAAACATACTTTTCCATGGGCTATGCTCTTAACAATTTGAGAGTTCAGAGGAAAGACTAGAAAACTATGGAGGTATTTGTGTACATGCACCCACATGCTTATGTTTATAGATACATGACATATACACACATACAAAACACACATATACAATCTTATCACAGATAGGAGCTCTTCTCATTTTCCTAATGAAGCTTTTAGCATGAGTTCCAATGGCAGCTCCTCTGTCTGGGCTTTTACCCATTCAAGTTACCACTGGAGGTTGCCTTGCTCCTGTGGTTTGCTCACCAGTACCTGGAAGTCTCCTGGGACTCAGACTAATGGCAAAGGCAGCACCACTTCTTTTCCTCTCCCCGACTTGCACACACTTTTTGGATGCATTATAATTTTTTAATCCATGCTAAATTTGTAGGTTTGATCATTTTGTTTTTACTTGTGTGGGAAGGGTGCCGATTCTAAGAAAAGCAAGCGAGGAAACCAGCACAGGCTTTTGTTCCTAGCTCAACACAAACCACATGCCTAACTTGGCTCCTGAAGAACGCAGAAACTGCTGAGGTATCAAACTGAAAACTGGGCATGTGGCTGTGCTTATAGTGGAAGAGTCCCACCCCTTGATTGGCCACGTTTCACAATTGGTCAAGATTGTGCACCCTCAGCAACATGCATGAGACTCAGAGGCCCTCATTGTTGCTTTCCCATCCCTGGTTTGAAATAGGAGGTGTTCTGACCAGGAGACAACTCAGAGATGCTGTGCTATTTTGCAGCTAGAGAGAGGACTTTCCTTCTCCCTTCCAGTTTCACAGCAGCAAAGCCA